GGTCGTAAACGCGAACCCGAAGCCTAGACCCTTACCCATTACCCGCTGAGGCTTAAGGCCTAAACCGTGAACCGTATGCCAAAAACCCAAACCTTGCAACGTCCGGGTGCAAAGAGGGAGGGTTTAACCAGATGAGGTGACCAAAAGGTTTCAGGTTTTGCGACTAAGTCAACCCAGCGGGTTTCTCGCAGCTCTTGGCCGCTATTTGCCGCTAATGGTTTTCCCTATGATCCCAAAAGGTCCCCAACAGTTTCCACGTAAGGCTTGCTACTCAGAGTTTTCGGAGAAGGGTTCCTAGAGCAGATTTTCATTCAGGAGTTTGTCGTGCGGACAGGGTGTGGGACGCTATCTCCCAGGCAGAAAGCGTGCATGCTACAACTAGAAACCAAGCATGCAAAACCCTAAACCCTAAACCCTAAACCGTCCGCAGACAACGTCGTTCGATTCCCAAACGCGCGTAAGCCCTGGGTCGCTGCAGCCTCTTTTCCCGAGCCGTTCTTTCACCTCTGTGCCACGTACCTGCGGCGGTGTTAAATATGGCCACGAAGCAGGCTGGATTGGTGGAAGCCCTCAAACCCTGATCCACAAAGCACTATGCTAGCACTCGAAACAAGGAGATGATAGCGATGAAGAGGAAGATGAGGATGATGAGATGAGGATAAAGATAATGATGCGCAATGTTGATGCAGATGAAGGTGCTGCTGACGACAACGACGGTGCGATGATGGTGATGGCCGTGGATGGCCGTGGATGATGACGGTGTCGACGCGCTGGGCTTTCAGTCTTATACTTCGATGTATGCCTAAACCCTAAACCCTCAACCCTAAACCCTAAATTTTTTGGATCCATCACGGCTGATGTCGTTTTTTTCCCGATGGCCCTGGAATACACTGTGGCTTCTAGGCGAGTTGAGACGCCCCAGCAGCACTGGGTCTACACAAAACGAAAAGTTGGTGTGGGAAGAGGCTTTCGGAAAGACCATCATACGAAGAAGCCACCGAACAGGATAGCTTCATTTAGGGTGCAAGTATTCAAAGGCAGCTCCAAAGCTTCTGTAGAGGTGCAGAAGCCTCCTCTTTGCTGTTCCAATGCAGTTTGTTCCCGTTGACATACAGTCGATTCACAGTATGGCTTCGGAAGCTACTGGTTCAGGTTTTGGGTTCCTAGGTAGGTCTTCGGGATGGTTGATATCTTCCCTCATGGGGCTTGGGAAGATCTTACTTACGAATATTTTCAGAGGCTTTTGAAAAGGCCAGCCTGGGTTCAAGAAACCCTAAACCCTAAACCCTAAACTCTAAACCCTAAACCCTAAACTTATAAACCCTGAACCCTAAACCCTAAACCCGATGAGCCCTACCCGAAACAGTCAACAGCCAACTTGCAGCTCAAGCTCTGCTCCTGGCATCTGCACCTGGCGAGGCTCCCTCGCTGGCGCAAACTTATCACCAGGGCCCTACAGAGGCAGGGCCGGGTTTAGGGTTTAGGGTTTAGGGTTTAGGGTTTAGGGTTTAGGGTTTAGGGTTTAGGGTTGAGGGTTTAGGGTTTAGGGTTTAGGGTTTAGGGTTTAGGGTCCAGGGTTTAGGGTTTAGGTAATATAGGAGCCTTAATAATTACCGATACTGTTTTGGGGGGTTCCTCATTACAAGTATAGCAAAATATAGCACTTAAACCCTATTCTAATTATTAAGGCCCCTACATTACTGGTATTTGTTAATGTTTGGCATTGACGTCATTGACCTAACTTTGTTTTGTAGTCATCGTGCAGGAGTCGCAGCACTAGATGTCCGGGAAGAACGGGGCAAGGTTACAGACAGGATGACTGAAAACGTGAGGAGGTATCAACTCTTCGTTCGAATCCAGGATTGTGTCTGCGTGACTCATGACAAGTGCCTGAAGCATTCATGCTAGGTTCCCCTGTAGTACCCTTTTGCCATTTTCTTTTTGGGTTCCCTTAATAAAACCAAATAGTAGGAAAAAGGGTACCCTTATTATTGAGGGGCTACTGGGGGACCTAACATGTGAAACCAGGCATGCAACTGTGTAAATTTCAAGCCGCATCCCCCGTAACCCTAAACCTGCCCCAACCGCCCCAAACCCTAAAGCCTAAAACCCTAAATCCACTGAAAAAACCCTACGCCCCAAACCCCCTCACCCCCAAATCCCTAAAGCTCAACCCCTCCAGCTTCGGGTGCAACTCGCAGCATTGATGACAGGCGGGCTCTCATCCGAAAGCGCTGACGAAGGAAGACCTGGATGCTCCTCGTCCGCCTATCTCAATAAGTAGAATAGGGTTTTGGGGTTAAGGGTTAAGGGGGTCGAATGTAAGATGGTTGGAGTCAGGAGCTCCAATATGGTACTGGAAATTATGATAGGCCCCAAAAATGCTTCAATCAGGTTTTGGGGGTGTGTGAATGTAGCGGTTCCTGTAGACACGCAAGTACTAGTGGAAGTACATCGTCCTTCTTACGTTGATGGTTTAGGATTTAGGGTTTA